CATGTTTATGTATAAATTAAAGAATTTGAATAAATGTAGAGTGTGAACTTAAGTAATATATATGTAAATAGATATTCTTGTTACATGAAAGAGATCTTAGACTTTTAGAAACATATAAATGAATTCTCTTGTGTAATGCATTAACCTTATATTTATCTGTTCGATGAAATATGATAATTGTTTCTCGAGCAATGAAAGAAACCGGCCGACATCCTTTTTCTAGTTTAAGAAAAGGTGATTACCTAATGAGAGGGTCATCGATGTTTTCAAGTTCCAATCGTGAGTCAGGTCTATACACAGGGTGTCCTAACATTATCGTTATAGTCTCTTTAGCTCTACAAATATAAAGAATTTGTATATTTTTTGTAATTTTACAATATTAATTCTTTCATTAAAACGTTTCAATAATTCACAAATGTTACATTTAATAAAATATGTGTATTCTATTTTACATTTGTAATATTTGTTTACAAGTATTTTAATACAATCGTCGAATTTCGTGTTGTAAAAAATACCTGTGTCACCTGTAATCTACAATACGTTCAAATACGCACATTTCAGCGCAAAAGGAGTTATACAAAAAGAGAGAAACAAAAAAAGAATCAATATATATTTCGCAAAATGTATTTTCTTGTTGTATATCAATACACATGAAAGTCGCTTTATAGGCACGATTGAAATCGCATTAGGATTATATTCCCCAAGAGTACTCTAGCGGCATATTATACATACCGGCACACCGTGCTGTTCGTTTGAAAATCCACTCGTCTACAGGGACTTGCCATTGGAGATGCTTTTTCTATTCTCTCGAGAGGATGCGACACTGGCTCCTTTGATCTGGTGAACGAGGCAACTTTTAAGCTTTCGGAAGTAACAGGCATACAGATGGTTATGATAATAATAATAATTTGATCTTCGCAGTCTCCGATGGTCCTGGGCTTCTTCGCGCGCGCTCATGTCTGCATACCAACACACGCACACAGTCTACACCAGCACGCGTATTGCAACGTACACCGTACACGACTACGTGAAGCTGACGACTCTCAGGGTCGATTGTGGACAATACGAGCGGATGGAGTAGCTTCGAAATCGATCGAGAATTAATCCGGCGCTATCGCGTCTTGCAACTGTTGTCCCATTGTCTCATCGCAAACTAAAATGAAAGGACGGAAGGGAGAGAGATGCGGATAAATTGCTGGAGCAAGATGGTCGAATTTTCTCTCTTCTTTCCCCCGAGATTTATTCGAGAATTTCGCCGTTTCTTCGAAATTCTTACACGTCTACTCTCCCTCTTGTGCTCTGTCTCGATAAATTTTCTGTAAAATCTCGAATTGTTATTGCGGCGTTGCGTTTAGCGTTCACCAAATTGTTTCTTATTTATTCCACTTTCCTATTATATATTTACTCCACTTGTCTGTAGGAAGCTTAAAATCACAGAGTGAAGTTTTTTGCTTCTGCCTCTAATCAAGTAATAATCAAAGAAAAGATTAACCGCGTCTATCGCTTACGGCACATCATTTGACGCAAACCAAGGACCACGTCCCTCTCTCTCTCTCTCTCTTCTTTAACGCCTCGGCCACTTGTGGTTTTAACTACCTTCGAGGGATCCCTGCTAGCAGCAAGTGCCGAGTGTGGCGAGAATTATGTAATTATTGCACGGTAATTGTCGCGAAAAATGGCGGCCGCCCTGAATGGCTTAAGTGTCGCGACGAAAGCAACCCGAAAAGGGGGTCAACTCTATGACTTGCTGACGGGATACCTTTACCGCAGAGTGTAGGTCGCATTAAACTTTCGTCTATGTGCATTATTAAACTATAACTCATTAATAGTTACTATTAAAATGTTTAAGTACAAATTTCAGTTTGTGAAAATATAATAGATCAGTTAAAACAAATTTTTAATCATTGCGCGACTTGATCGACACAACTCTAACATTATAAATTCTACATTGAGATTATCAGTGTTTTAAATTTAGGAGGTTGACACCCGCGGGTTATCGAATTCCAAAGTTTGTCAACAAAATAGAAAAAATTGTAAAAATGATGATATTAAAATTATATATTATATATATACATATATATGTATATGTGCAGGTATAGGCTATTCCAGATCAATTGCATTTCCTTTCAATTGCGGATCGGTATTACCTTAGCTCACTACCAGATTCGTAACGGTGATTAGCAAGGAAGCGTTCAAACGCTTTCGATGCTGTCCGACAGAAGGCCGAGAGAAGGTCTTCGGCGCTTGAGACTGGAACAACGGGAATAAGTTTGGTCCAGCTTGCTTTACCTTCCTCAGGATCATACATATAAAGACGGTGACTCGTTCGCGAACCCTCGAAAGCCGAACAATCGCCGTACGGCAGGAATTACCTCCTTACTCACAGACCCTCATCTCACCCTTCGCTTCGCCTTCTCGCCTTTTACCTCGCCGTGGTCCTTTTCTTTTGTTACACCTCCCTTCGAATTGTACACCAGGCGGACATACATACTCGTACCTAAAATTAGTCACTTTTAATCCATATATACACTCGTACCTATGACTTGTAATTAGAATATATATCGTGAAAATTGTTGTGATAGTATTTAAAACTCTAATTTTTTTATGTTTCGTGTTCAATTTTATACATCAAACGGCGAATTAATGTTTTAAATTCTCAAATACAGTTTCAAATTACAATCAATTTGGGTATAATAAATTTAGAAGTGTCTAACTTTCAACGCAGAATTATACACCTAATGTACTCTTTCTCACGCTATAGACTGCCCGCACCTTTTCATCCTTCGACGGTGTTGGAGTCATAACTACAAAAGAGCTACAATAGATAGAAACCACCGCCTTTCCTCTGCCACTTATTCGTTCCGCCAAATGACTTCGACCGCGATTTCACGCGCGTAAAATCGTCGAACATCGGATTCACGAAAATACGAATCTTTATGCCTCGAACATAAGTATCTTACGTCGCACCACCAGTCCTTTTCCAATGACTACTTCAATCAAGCGCTACTGGAATTGATTTCCTTTACTTTGCAATTATTGCAATATGTCGTCTTTATTTTCTTAAGTGAAGCGTATAGAGATATTTCTTACACATTCAGTACACGCGTGATTACTTCAAATTTTATACAAAAATTCTCCATAATATTTGCTAAGCATTGCACGAACTTACATTTTGTGACGTCTAAAAATTGGCAGTCAATTTGCATCCAAATTGTTACGTTCGATGAAACACGTATAGATATCCTAATTGTAAGCAGTAAGGAATTTTCTACAACAAAAGATAAAACAACGTTACACGCAGTAAAGTTTGTAGATGTGCTTAATTATGCGAAGAATCATTCGCGTAATATATACAGATAAACATTTATCGCGTGTTACGCGTAAAAAATGACCTTTGGCCACACGCACCAATCGTAGAATGATGTTTCAGAAATTGTAGACAACCGCATTTGTCGCACGCATAATTTATTATCGTCGAGCGTTTCGCGCCGACCTGTTACGCAATTTTATATTTGATAGTAATAAAATAGTAAACAGTATAGGAGAATTATCGAACGTCACGTTTTACTATTCCTATTTTTAAATATTATACATTTGTGATTAAACTTTTATCAAAGTTTTTACTGCAGCTTAGATAGTCTAAAGAAACTTTAGTAGAGTACGGTAATTAATTTGCTATTATCATCGGGAGCTGGTTGACGAAAGTATTGGATACTATCGATCACTTGTCAATGTTGTGCGGACAACTCTTGACACTCTTGTGCTAGAGAATGAATGCAAATAAGGATCCAGAAGAATTGTAGAGAGTACGTCTGCGACGCACGACCAATTTCTAGAAGTCACCCTGTATATTCCGATTACACGCGTGTTTCGCTATAAATGTGCGGAAGGTCGCGAGCAATATCAGTATATTATGTCATAGCGCGCTTTTTCGCAATTCGCCGCGCAGGGTTACGTCGAAATCTCGAATATCGATGACCGTAAGGTGCAGTGACGCGCGGTGATGGATGCATCAGCGGGACCAAAGCACCGGCATTTACCACAGTCGTTCGAAGGCTGAAAGAAATCGACGGTGGCTCTGGCGCAGCCCTGGGGTGGCTGCGGAAGGGTGAAAAGAGAGAAATTGGCAAGTAAGACGGAAAGAAAGAGCAAGACCGCGCGGAGATTAGATCCCGCAGGATGAGTAGGTGGGATTGGATTTGGCAGGCGCGCGGCTCGTTGGCGGTAGACGCCGGTGATGCGAAGCAGTAGGACAAGAAGAAGGGGCAGGGGGTGGAGTTTGGTTCGTGTCCGAACGGCGGAGAGGCTGCTGAAGGGAAACGAGGGAAACTCGGAGAGAGTAGGGTAGACTGTATAGGGAGTACGTGGAGTAAAGCAGGACGGGGGAGGGTAGCGAAGAGAGACGAGAGAGAAGAGAGGCCGTAAGTGACAGAACGGAGGTGGTATAGGTGACTGCCTGCTGGACAACCGAACCACCCGAACTCAACTCGGCGGTATTTAAGGGAGAGCCGCGAGCGTAGCGCGCCAGTTGTTAGCACGGCCGGTTGATGCTTGGCTTTCGCGGACTGACACTCGCTGGATCGTCATGTCGCGTGACATCGAGTGCAGTTAAAAAGTATTGCACGGAAAAAAAAAAAAGAAATATATACACATAAGTTTTTAACAAGCAATCTCAATTTTTTTTTTCCTCGATAAACAATCTTGATATAAGTTGATCTCAATAAATGATAAAGTCGTACTTAGTGATACTTAAGGAATACCAAGCGACACCACGTGTCCGCTTATCGTTCATCTTCATTGTTGATTCATCCTTCAAACTGTTGCGATATAATTAAAAATCTTTCCTTAATTATACGGTAATGAACACGATCGTAAAAACACGCAAGTGTGAAGTTAAGTGAATACACATGAGAGACGGCGTTATGTGAAACTATACATATGGCATTATTCGAACTCTTCGTAATTGAAGATCGAAAGAATTCGACACTTTTGAATCTCGGATGGTACAGATGAGTGTTTCAAAGAGGTATGAGCCTATTTGTCGTTTACTTCATACAACTTTAAAAGAATACTAGGCTATTTTAAGAATAATTTTAATTTTAAAATGAATTGACTCTCCGATGTCTAACAGTAATAATAATAATAATAATAATAACAGTTAAGATTAATAAGAGAATTATATTCAGTTACATAAAATGGATGAGATTATCATCGTTTTGAACTCGCAATATCGAAAATACAGATAAATGTAAAAAAAAAAAGATAATGTGTTCTTTTCGCGGCAGCACTTCCATAAATACCACGAAAAGTTATGTCGCGCTAATGTAAATATACGAGTACATTTCGCATCGATAATTCCGCATTTATATTGTTTCATTTTTATTAACCCGCAAGTTTACTAATTAGCTAATTACATATTTATGATTTTAAATGTTACTTTACAAGAGAAAATATTAATATTGGTTAATAAAACAGAAGAATCGAACAATTCTTTTTAAATCAAAAATACAAAAAAATGTAATTTATATAAGTAATTTTAAGAAACAAATATAACTGAAGAATTTTTTTAAGCGCTTATTACCTATATACTTTCAAATAATTTTCTAAAATCAACACGTTTACTTGTTTATCCGAAAGAATACTTTTTAAATGTTTCTTATGTCTTATTCATTCTTTGATGTTACATCAATTATTCTTTTAAAATTGTTTTGTGTTCAATTTCTTCATGTTTAGTAGAATTATTATTCAGCTACACATACTGTTTCTGTTGGATCACCTTGTATATGACGATCAAAGAATCTTTAAACGAGAATAGGCAATTAGTTATCTTATATCCGTAAATATATTACGTCTTGTATAACTTTATTTTATAGTTTTTGAATATAATTGCTGGAATACTTTCGAAAATTACTTTCTAAAAATGTAAAACATATAAGGTTTAAAAAAAGTTGATGTAATATTTTTATAATTCTGAAAAATCTGTGATATATGTATATAGATACATTATTATTAATGTATGTAAATTAAAATACTATATATTATAATAAATTTTAAATTTTTTATCGAATTTTTAAATTATTACTCATGAAACTATTATATAATGTTTACATTTTTCGGAACATTTTGCAAAAATTTGGAAAAAGCTGCTATATTTTTTATTAAAAAAATAAATACATGTAATATAAAAGTATTATTAATATTAATTAAATAGTAATATATATGTAATCACTGTTTATAAAAATTTTTTTGCTTTAAAAGATGTAGTAGAAGCACATTTAAATAATTAACAACTAGCTTACAGAAGGCATCCTTATAATTACTTTCAGATAGAGAACATTGATGACGAAGTCTCTTTTTGCATATTGGAGAGAGTTTTGTAAATTAATTATTAATTTTTTGTTTCCGTATATATCTTCACTTTGGTTAAAAAATATTTCGCTGTCATCTCGATAGGTCCTTGCGTAAGTTTGAAACATATTACAAAAGCCTGATGGCTTTCTGGAACAGGTACTCGATGCTGCTGCTAGCATTGGGGTTGATTTTCACGCAATCGTCTGTCGGAGCTTTACCACGAGAAGGTACATATTTTGCACGATCGAATGTTTCGTCCGAACTCACCGGGACGTCTTCCAGTCACAGTATTTCGGTCATCAGGATCTTGTCCGATGGACGATGGGAACGGTTCATTCGGTGGCCCGGAGTCTGCGTCAAGGAGATCATTGTCAATTGGGGGTGGGCATAGCCACATCTTTTTCTTACATCTTAATAGAATTAAAACAGTTAGATCAAGTCAGATAGTTTTGCTATGACCCGGAGCAATTAAACGCGAACAAATTGCTTCGTTGTATATCTAACATCGAAATCTGAACTCGCTGATGTTACTTACTCTGCTTACATCATATATGCTTTCTTTCATGAAAAACGTGTCGAGTGTTTTTACAGTAACAAAGGGCTAGCCGTGTAGCAACCTGTACTATCCTCTTTCCTGAAATAACATTTTCTCGGATATAAGCAAACCTCTTCTTCCTATCCCACCTATATAATCGTCCCGCTCCCCTTCCCTCTGCCACATGTAGTCGGCAGGATTGAAGCGGGAACTCGTGGTTGGCAAGCACGAAAACAATGCCGCCTTTCATTATTGCCAATATGTGGAAGCTTGACTGTTATGTATACGTTTAGCGCCGGTTAGGTCTTTCAAATGCCATCCATCGCTCCGAAGAACGCCGATACAATCTAATGGAACAGTCTCTGGTGAATCCTTGTCAATCGTAATAAGTTTTAGCACAATATGGACTGTATTAACGCTCGCGAGAAGAATCGATGCTCAAGCCGAATGAATAAATTATACATTTTATTTCTTCTTTGCCGGATTACGTAAAGAGTGAATCCTATTTTATTTTTCTAGTAAAAAAATGTATATGTTAATATTTATATATATGCTAATTGTATATTTATATAAATAAATAGTTGCAATGCAATTTAAACAGTTGTTAAAAATTACATAACAAGTTGGACTCTTCGTGAATTTTCTTTGCTTGACTATTTATGTAAGGATATAATATAACTGTTTAAAAAACGTGTAAAAAAAATATATATTTCAAAAGCGCATTATATTCTTGTTAAAAGTATGTAGTTTTTCTTTTAATAATAAGAAATGGAAGAGGAAGGAAAAAGAGAAAATATTGTAACATAAAAGATACCAATAATGAATGAATAATATATATGTCTAACAAAAAAAAACACCTGCATTTTATAAGTGCAACAAAAAAGGCAACAGAATGATGTAAAAGTGAACAAAGTGAGAAAACGATTCGATCGTATAAAACACAATAACGACAAAGTTCATAGCACATAAAATGCAATAATGTAATTGTTATTCCATTAGAATTGAAAAGTAAAAAAGGGGATACAATTTATCATGTTTATTCGTTGACAGTAACCGCAAAGCCAACCAAGCTCTTAAGCCGAAAAGCGGCAAGTTAAGTAAGCAAGGATTAGGTTCTGCGACAAGCGGACGTCCTGGAACCTCTACGTATAAGGGATCGGATTGGCCCCTTTTGCCTTGGACCTAAACGTAGTTCGGTAGGTTGCCGTCCTGTTTTACTCTCCTAGATGGGACTCATCTGCTGATGCTCTCACGAGGATACCACGGAATACCACAACCACGAAGCGTCACTTTGCACTTAAACGCAGGACGAAAGCTCTTTTACCGTCGTGAAGAAAGTGCACGCTCTGCTTTTCGCTAACCGCCCCCCAGCCTCCACCCTCTCTTTCCGAATTTGCTTTTATCGCCTGAATAATTTGTTGGGGAAAATTCAATTTCATTTTTTTATTATTACGATATTAGAATATATATCATAAATTAAGCGCACAGATCCGTATACAGCATTGACATAAATAAATCTATTGGCAAAATTAGTATACACATCTGAAATTTCTATCACTTTTGAGACAACAGATAAACGTAAAGTTTATTTCGCTCTTACACATATTTCTCAAATTTGACTATTTATTGTATATTACTTCGACATATATATATATAGCATTTAACTGAAAATTAATTAGATTACAATAACGTTTATTCTCTCGATAGAAATACAAATGTGACACTGCGACAAGTCTGGCTTCGTAAATCAAACAGAAAGCTGCAATTGATATATGCCGGTGAAACATTGACTGACTGCATTGACGAGAAGCTCGCGTGGTGGGGCGACAGCGAGTGTTTACCCAGCTCTCGCGATGTCTATCGTTATCACGATGACGGTGACGAGGTGTCGATCGAGGTGTTCCAACTGGACGGTAAGGACATTTCGAGGATACCCCGTGACCTCTCTTGGCTGTTGTCGACATCGGAGCTTCGTCATCGATGCGATCGCATGAGAACGAGAGTGCGAAGCCAAGCCGTGGCCCAATATCGACATAGGTATGACCTAGGATGAGCCAGTATACTCTCCCCCTAGTCGACTCTAACTCGCGTGATCTCTCGGCTTACGTAAACCGCGCGAAACTAACAATAAGATATAGGCGATGCCCATTGTAGAATCGAAGTGTATAACGAGCTTTTTCTTTGTAACAGGAAATACGAAAAATCGACGAACGCGACTAACGGAAAGCGAAGTCGAAGTCGGAATCGAAGAGAATTATTCATGATACCAGGAACGCAATGGTGCGGTCGCGGTGACCGTGCTACCAAGTATACCAACTTGGGCGGCTTCGGCATGGCTGATGCCTGTTGCCGAAAACACGATACATCTTGTCCCTTTTTCATACCGGCATTTGAGACGCGATACGGCGTTTTCAATTGGAGAATTTCGAGCATGATGCATTGCGCTTGTGACGAGCGGTTAGTAATTAATGAAGTTATTCAATAGTACGGTCTATAATCTATATAAAGGAATGCTTGCGAGAAAATGGCGATTAAGTACAAAAACAAGTAGAATTCTCGATATTCGAAAATAATTGAATGTATGTAGGATCTGCATAAATGTTTAGAAAATATTCTCTAGATTTATTTAATACAATTAAATGATTTAACGTATACGTTTTTTAATGTGCATATATTTTGTACACTGAAAAAATATCTTAATTTTTAAAGAAATTTTCATTGACTCAAAGAAATAATTTTCTTTTAATTCGAGCAAAGAAATATTTCTTTGAAATTAAGATTTTTTTTCACTGTATACAATAAGTCTTATTCTTTTGAAAAAATATTATATACAAATTGTTTCTGTTATTTCTAATATTAGTTAACAAATTTCATAAAATTTATTATTGATGTATGCAACAATTTTATGAATTTTATCGCTTGTTACAACTATTTTTATTTAAGATTTTTTTGTATACAGATTTCGCACATGTTTGAAAATGGCTGGGACTGCATCGGCGGATTTTATCGGCAAAATCTTCTTCGACGTACTCCAATCAAAGTGCTTTATTCTGAAACCGCAGAAGATATGCGTGAAACGATCCTGGTGGGGTAAATGTCAACATCATGAATACCGAAAGCAGGCCTACGTACGAGATAATGTTCCTTACTAAGGGTGCTATTTTATTCGTGCGTTTTTATCGTACGACAAATGTATGCAGGACAGAGACATCCTCTGATCTCTCTATCCTATAGCCAATCAACAGGCTTGAAAAATTGATCGTATGACAAAAACGCACGAATAAAATAGCACCCTAAGGGTGTACAGCATATAAGAGATCGTCATAAAGAAATAATGAAGTATTCTTCTTCCGGAGATGTCAATAGCAATTCTCAGGGATGTGTAATATTTTGTCGAATACTTATAATATGTCAAGAAAAACAGAAAGAAAGAAAATCAAGTCGATTAGGTAAATCACGAAATTATATATCACCAAAGATTGACAATAGGTACATCATAATTCGTCTCTTCGATAAAGAAAATTGTTATATTAAATCAGCCGATTATATAATTATACTTATACGTTAGACATCCTAAATTATGATATTAGAAACGAAGAAAGGATTGTATGTATTGTTCTACTAATTTATATCTTATAATCAATTTCCAAATATTTAACAAAATTGAATAAATACAATTAGTAAGCTGCCTTTGTTTTCCTAACAAGTATAAGATATTTTATAATATATCTATTTATTATATTACATACACATGTTTTATAAAAGTACATAAAAATTCGATCTTCATATTCGTATACATTTTAAAAATGTTTATTGAAATTTAAATAAATATTTGTATTAATTTATTTCTTTTCTCTTATATTTCTACACTTAAAAACTTAATTGGAGAAAGTCCACCGTTATAAGTATTGGCAGTCTTTATGTATACATACAAAGTTATGTTAAACTTGTAGATAGAATTTGTTAACTTTTAAATATTATTAGCAAACTGTAAACAAATTAATAGGATCGTGAAGTTAAGCTTTATATATAGGATAGCTTAGAATTTTTGATGAAAAATTATATATATATATATAGTATGCATATGTATTTATATATTAGTTACAAACTATGTATACAAGATAAATCTAGATTTGGTCAAAAATAATTTCGATTTCTATTCTAATAATATTTTATACCAATTCATAATACTTCCTATATATGGAGAAATTGTAGAATAATTAAGTCAAACAAATTTTTCAAAATACCTTGAGTTTTTCTTGTCAAGTTAAAAATCATCTCTTCATGCTTCTAAAAAAAAATTCTTAATATTTAATAAATTAAATGTTAATATAACTAAAAGCTATGGACTTCCTGAACCTTTGTTTAAAAGAGTAAAATTATAATCTATAAATTAAAACGAAATAAAGTCAAATTTTGTTATTTAATAATTATATATTTTTATTCGCTTTTCAATTCAATTTCCGGAAAAGTCCATCACTTATTTTAACGATAAATAAATCTGTTAGATTTACTTTTAAATCAACAATTAACTTTTTACACGGTCAATATATTTGCGATGTTCAACATCTATATACTAATTTTACCTGCATTTCTAATGTTAATAGAAATTTCAACCGATCGGAATTCGTTTTATGAATAATTGAGTTTACTACTATCTATTTTCCGTCAGATTACGTGTAGATTTAAAGCAATATCGATTGGCTCATTGGCTTAAGTTTTACATCTTATGGTCATTAGAGGTTTGTTTTTTTATTCCTACACTAAACTGCACTCTCTCGTTTTCGCCGAATATTAAATATATATTATTCTAAAAGTGTACATACACTAGTTCAGTCACAAAAAGCATTGCAGATCTATTGTTACGGCAGCCCTTACCACGGTAGATGCATACACGATTCACGAATCTTCTAAAATAATCACGTGATCGATCACGCTTGTTTACATTTGCGCGCGAAAGTGCCACATGCTCTGTGATCTGACTGACTAGGATTTACTCCATTGTCACACTTGTCACGAACATTATTAAAACTTTATTAATTTATTTAATTCATTTTGATACAAAACCGTGCTTATAATACGACATACTCAGTATTAAAGAAAAAAAGTATATGAGGTTAGCAATAAGATGTTAATCACTTAAATGACTGAGTTTGAGCGAGGTTATAACGGTTATATTATACGAGAATGAAACGAGGCAGTATACCTTGTCTGTGTACTGAACTGAATCTTGCCCTCACGTTGCACGGTGGCCAGAGTTTCAGGTAATGCTCGAAATATGTGAACATTAAATTAATGTAGTTATACAATCAATATAGTTATACATATAATTCATAAAATTAATTTATATATATAATTGTTCTCAACAATTTAGACTAATATATTGTATATTATTAGTGAGTAAATTTTAAGTGTGTCTTTTTTAAATTTAATTTCAAAATTTTAAAACACTAATAACTATATTTCAGATGGACGGCTTGCGACAATGGATACAAAGGTATCTTTAACGGGTCCGTTTGGACTCTGTCTCAAAATAAAACCCATCTGTTATATACCGTACAAGGACACTTAAAAGATTCAGTAAATTATGATAATATTCTGTCTGAGTATTTTAGATTATCAGTACCATTAAAAGTACATTATGAACAATGGGCAAAAGCAGATACACATTTTCAAAAGTGTTTAGATGAAAATAATGCTGTTAGAATATTAAAGCAAGATGTTGTAGAGAATTTATTCTCATTTATCTGTAGCTCCAATAATAATATATTAAGGTATATTTTTAAAAAATTGTATAGTAAAAATGAATTTGTATATTGCTTTTGCTAAATGTTTATTTTTTTTAGGATATCAAATATGGTTGAAAAGTTGTGTTCATTATTTGGTCGTAAAATATATTCAATTGAAGATAGAGAGTATTACGATTTTCCAACGATAGAAGCTCTGAAAGAAAAAAATGTAGAAAGTATATTAAAAAGAGAAAAATTCGGCTATCGTGCTGCATACATAGTTAATACAGCAGACCGTTTATCAGCGTTGGGCGGGAAGGATTGGCTTCTAAATTTACAAAGGGAGAATGTTTCTTACCATTCTGCCAGAGAACAACTAATGACTCTGTCAGGAATTGGTCCCAAAGTTGCCGATTGCATATGCTTAATGTCGCTAGGCCATTTAGATGCTATACCTGTTGATACTCATATTTTCCAAATAGCACAGGCAAATTATTTACCACACTTAAAGAAACAAAAGACAGTTACACCAAAAATTCATACTGAAGTAAGTAATTATTTACGAGAATTGTGGGGCCCATTAGCTGGATGGGCACAAGCTATTGTATTTTCTACAAAAATCAATATTAAATCTAAACCAATTGAAAAGCAAAAGCGTAAAAACAATGATAATAATTTAGTACAAGCAAAAACACTCAAGGATATATGATTATTATGGAATTATTTTCACAAATAATTAAGTTATGTAAAACAATTTTATCTAATTTTATAAAAAAAATTGTATTATATTAAATGACATCCTTTTAGCAACAAATTTTTTGCGTAATTTATAAGCTATTGAAATGACAATAACTATAAAAATGTGTGTAAATGTATAAAGAAATATTTACTTTTTGATAAAATAAATTTTTTGATATAATTTATATCTTTAATATCCAATGCGCTAAAAAGTATTAATAAAAAATTTGAAGATGATTGTTTGAAAATATAAGTTAAAAATAGTTCATTATACATCATTTTACATTAATATAAAAAATCTTTTATTCTATGTTTATAGACATATGTACATACACATACAATCATAGAATAATCTCTAAATTTCTAAATTTTTATCACAGGCTTGTGTATTATTCAATGGTTTTCTCTTTTTTACTCCAAATCCTACAAGAGCATAGTCAAAATCATCTAGAATAATATACTCTGCAGGATATTCAATGTCTCCTTCATTATCACAATCTGTTGATATATAAATAGAATTATTTATATGCACATTGCTCATTTATAGACATATTTAAAATACAAAGAACATAATTTATTCAAATTACCAATAGATTTTTGTAGAATATCAGCAAAGATATTATTAGTAAGATAACGCAAACCAGGAAATTTTTTATATAAATATAACTTCTGTGAAGGTGACAAGACTGCTAGACAAATGGTTTGCAGAGATACTGGCATTGAGCAACTATATGTTAATTTCATTACACATTGAGCCATTGTAGAGCTTATTAATGGATAAAGTATAACATTATTTAATTTTGTAAAAGCCACACCTACAAAAAAAAGAGAATTAAAAAATTATTAAAATTATATCTTTATATAAAAAGAATATTTGATTAAATATTTTACTATTTACCTAATGGTTTTCGATTTATGAAAAATTGTAATGTACCAGTCCACGCATCGAGATGTATCCCTATCGAGTCTTTTTGACCAAACCTTGTCCCATATTTACATGTCTTACCATCATGTTGTAAATAACCTTTATATGAAAAACCCCAAGATTCTTGATCTCGTCCAAGCAGAGCACAAAAATGCTCACTTGCATTATGAAGCTCTGCATTTGCAGTTCCTACACCAACCATCTAATACAAGAGCAATAAATATTACACGTACACTAAAGTGATACATATTGAAAATGTATGTATATCTATAAATTATCAATACAGATTCAACAAGATGTCAAATAAACTTACTACATCAGTGCCATAGATATGTGTTACCATTAAAACTTCCCAATAATGATGCCTTCCTTTTTCCAATGATTTGTTGCCTTTTACAACAGCTGTGCCAGTGCTATATACAGGATGAAAAATAACATTTAAGTTATTGTCTGATAATTTAATCGAAGAGGTTGAAAATGTTTTATCCCAAGTCCATTCGTGTTTTGGTGAAAAGAAATCTAAAAGAAAACACAATTATTAATTTTAAATCTACTACAATATTGCTTTCTATTAAATCGATAATAATTTACATTAATAAACAATAACTTACCGTTTTCTATCTTTGCATGTTGGTCCTTTGTAATTAAATCCATATTTTACAAATTATACTTTGACAATTGCATTTACGTTATCATATATTTTTTAAAGATATTGATTAACGCATGTTGTAGTAGAATTACCGGATCTATCCAATCTCCGATTATTTATACGATTTGTGCTTGTGAAACGCGGAAGTATTTTCTTTTTACTGAACTGGTGTACTGTGGTGCACATAGTGCAATAAGTTGAAATGAAACAGATATACGTTTGTTTGTTTCATTTCAACTTATTGCACTGTATGCACCAGTTTAGACAGTGCAGGCAAAAAGAACGGGCCTATTATATAGAATTATAAACGTATTTGCAACGTCGACGTATACATACGACGTCGACGTATTTTTGTATATAGATACGTTAGTAGCAATTGAATGTGATTGGTTGGTCCAAAGATTTCGAAATTTTAAAGACGTATTGATATTCAATAGTTTCTTTTCCAAGAAATAATTAAAAAATGTCAAGTTATCTCTCCATGTTCACTACCTTGTTTAGTAGTGTATAGCAATTCCATATTATTTAATAGATTATGATTTGTCCATTTCTTAATGCTTAAGGCTTAAGTTGTTTTCACATACAGCGCAAATTACGCTTACGCAAGTTGCGATATAGAAGCAGCCAAACATCTATTGTAGATCTTAATATTCGCTCATGAGTACCATTTCATCCTTATTGTCATCAAACATTAAACAAGGATAAAATAATGCATGCGAGCGTGTGAATGTTAAATGAAACGTACATACGCTTCCAGTTATCAATCAAGCATCGTGTGTTATCATGTGCCGCTAACTTTATCCGTGTCACAACGATTAAGTGGACTAAAAATTCACAATAATCACATTGAAAAGATTGTAGAACCTATTATATTTTTATTGAAAGTGTATATCGTTTTTACACTGTTTTTTAATTAATTATCGCTGAAGATGACTTAAAATAAGCCGAAACATTCGAATAATCAATTTAATATATATAAAGAATATATTGATTTGATATAAATTAAGCATTAAAATATTAAACGATGACAATAATTGTGGTGTCACTCTCACTGACCTTTCTTTATCACTAATTTTATATTAATTTTTCGATTTGTGCTTATTAAGAATTATTGATTCACTTTAAGGCAAATATATTTTTTGAATGCTCTCTTTTCCAATGATCCTCTCCATAAATTTTTATTAAAGAAACGTTAAAACAAGAAATAATTTTTAGCTACTTATATTGCATATAAAAAAATATATGTATATTATTTTATCTAGATATTTAAAACATATTTATTTCCTGTTGTAGATATTTCTTTAAAATGGAACTCAAGTGTACAGTTCAAACATATGCTTGGGGAAAACTTGGTATGAACAGTATTGTTGCGTCTTTGATAAAATCAGCCAATGCTGATTTCGTCGTGGATGAACAAAAAACTTATGCAGAATTATGGATGGGTACTCACGAGAATGGTCCATCATATCTTAAGGATACAGATATTCCCTTGCATAAATACATTCAGGAAAATACTGAAGCGTTAGGCAACAATGTTGCACAAACGTTTTGCTCCAATTTGCCTTTTCTCTTTAAAGTCTTGTCTATAAATAAAGCTTTATCCATTCAAGTACATCCGAATAAGGTAATACTTTTTTTGTTAAACATGAAAGTGGTACGTTAGTTGATTTGTGAGTTTTCAGACAAAGGCAAAAGAGCTGCATAAATTATATCCAGATATCTACAAAGATCCGAATCACAAACCGGAACTAGCTATAGCTTTGTGTCCTTTTGAAGCGCTGTGTGGATTCCGTCCAATCGATGAAATAAAAGATTATGTGAATAATATACCAGAATTACTCGCCGTCATAGGAGAAACTAATTCTCGTCGCTTATTTCAAACAGATGATTCTATGGTCAGTGATGCTTTGCAACAGAGTTTCCACAGTCTTATGACTTGTGATTCCAATGAAGTGGCACAGCAATTAAGAAGCTTGATAGATAGATTAGAGAATACAGGTAACAATTTCTATATATAACGCAAGACATATGTATTCAATAAATCAAGGTACAACAAAATAGTATTATGTCAGAAAAAAGTATAATAAATTTTGCAATATCTTTTTTTAAATAACTTTCTTAATACTACAATTTATTGAATACTATTTTTACATTCTTCCTCATTGGAAGAATTCTTTGTTAGAAAGTATAATCATGTGTAGTTGTGTGTGTGTGCCCTCAGACGATTATTATAGACAACTGGTTAAAGCCGACTTGTTAGAGCGTTTGCACAATGATTACCCTGGAGATGTAGGCTGTTTTACAATATATCTGTTTAATTACGTGACGATGCTACCAGGTGAAGCAATATACATTGGACCAAACGTACCTCATGCGTATCTATCTGGCGGTAAAATATAGATTTCGAATTTAATATCGTTGTATTCAAATATAACGAATTAATTTAGTTCAATTTTCAGATTGCATAGAATGTATGGCATGTTCGGATAATGTAATAAGAGCTGGACTTACACCAAAACCGAAAGATATAGAAACTTTAATCCAAGTACTGTCATTTGAATGCAAATCTATCGAAAAGATTCAACCATCTCGGGAAGATACGTTTACTCAAGTTTTTCGTCCACCAGTTTCAGAATTCGCAGTCGCCAAAATCACTGTGAGTTTTAATATCATTTGATATTAAAGTAATTATAAATGATTTTATTACATTTGATTGTATTGGATGTATATTTATCTTAAATATTTCGCAGTTACCACCTGGACAATCATCTTATAATTTAAAACCAAGAAACTCGGCTAGTATTCTTTTAATAGTGAATGGTAAAGCAAAAATATCTTCCAAGATTTGTTCTCGCGGCTCCGTTTTGTTTATTCCTGCCAATGATGAAGTGGAGATAAAAGTGTTATGTGATTGTCATCCTATGCTGATGTTTCAAGCATTTTCAAATGTTTGAGGCTACAGAATTCAACAAACGTTGGTAATACTTGTATAGTGTAAAACATGATTAATCTTTTAAAGCAGTCATATATTCAAAATTATAAATTTTAATATGTACAATTAAGATGTTTATTACCTGGAAGAATCTGGAATTTTCAGAGATTGTTTTCTTTAGTTCCTTTTTTGCTCTTGAAAATCAGGGAAATTGAAATAGAATCTTACTTTGAAATCTTTTTCTAGAAACATTGCTTCTCTGATCATTTTTCTTTACTGATGCAAAATCAACAATCAATTAGCAATAAGTATACATATATATATATATATATATATATATATTATCCTGTAGATTTTAGAGCTCCAGTTGTAAAAAATGTGTATATAGTCTTGGTAAAATCTCTTGTACTAATTTTCAATATATATAATAGTTTGTTTGCATTGATTTTATTACAATTTATTTTAAAGCTGTATTTAAAAAATTCTTTTACTTGGAATTTTGGACGAAATACTTGAAAAATTCAGAAATTTTCAGGGAATTTTTTTTTTAAACACTAATAATGGTGTCAAATTTTTTAATTACTAGTGTACATGATTTTTTTCAAAAGTGAAAAGTCGTAACAATCACAACTGTTTTTATATCATCGAAAACTATTTTATACAGTGACTATATTTTAAAAAATAAAAAAACGTGTGTATGTGTGTGCGCGTGTGTATCTATATAAAAAATAAATCAATCATCTTCTGATTCATTGCCTTTCTTTGTACTCTCTGCAGACTTTTCCTCTTCCTTATAATGTCGATACTCTGGTTTTAATTCCCACATATTTCTATGAGGATTTTTTAAATTATAATTACAAACTTCATTGAGGATTTCTTTTAGATAAACCTGAAATTTTTGTATGATATTTAATATTAGAACAAAAATTGTAATTTCTAAAATAAACTACATATTTTCTAAAAGATATAAAAATAAAAATATATTTACAATAGGTTGTCTCGTGATTTTTACAAGGTCTCTTATATTATAATATTGGTGTTTTTCGAATGCTGCAAAAAGCATATCTAGCACAGCATCTTTGTCATCTCTCATTTTCTTTCCTTCTGCTTTTTTCTTTTCAGCATATTCGATCTATAAAATGTTAACTATGTGTCAAAAATCAGTTTGATGACAAAAAATTAATAAAAATGCTTACATTATGTTTGTGATCAGATACAGGTTTGAAATTTTGCACAACTCTATCTAACTGCTGAACTTGTCTTTGTGGTACAGACGCTCGCTTGATACTTTCTAATTTTAATTTCATATAACAATTATCAGCTGAAAAAATTTTATTTTATAAATTTTATTTCTATTTTACTTTAACATAACTTATTTTTAAGAAATTAAATGTATATATATATATATATATATACACACACACATGTATTTGGACAACCATTTAAAATACATACCATAAGGTCTACATTCTAATTTCTGTACAATCCTTCCTTCCATAAAGAGTTTTTCTGTTTCTGGCACAATTGCATCTGAGCTTGTGGAGGCTGTAAAATTAATAGCAATTATTTTCAAAAATATGTTGAAAATGATATCAAACTTACGGGCAACGTGAGAGAACACTCCTAACATTTGTCTGGTAACTGTCGTGACATCTAGCCTATGTTGTTTTGGTATTTCTCCTTCTCCAGATTCTTTCAATGCTAAGACAGCCTCTGATAGTTTAAGAGATACTTCAGCTTTCTGTCCAACATTTCTAGAGAAAATAGACAAAAATAAAAATTAAATCAATCATAAATTAATATATACAATTTGTATATAATTTTTTATTCTATTTTATTAAAAACCACTTATTCCACAGAAACTAATCAATCAACAGTTTTTTTTATCAATCAGTAGTTGTTTGTTATTTTAATCGAATCATAAAAACAAAAAATCATTATTGCATTAACCTAATAGCAACATAAAATCAGATATAAAATCAATTTTAATAGAACTAAAAAGAATTACATATTAAAGATGAAATACTCTATCTTTTAAAGAAATACTTTCGCTTTTAAATAAACATAAACTCACTTGGTGATCTTCAATTTGCCGACTTCTATATTACCAGGCGCTTTTTCCCATTTATTAGCTATATACTTAGGCACTTTAACAAGCCACACACCACGACCAGCATTACTCAAATCTAATTCTCTTTCCGTATGCGTGGTATTCGCGGACATTTTTGTTATATTTTTTTAACGTTTACGTTTTCAGATATACAGAGGTACAGTTTCACAATCACGTGAATTCACATACCGCTAAAATAACAATTGGAGATTGGAGCTAGTGTCGAGCGATCCCATAGTGGGGCTGCATTCCACGAACAACGTTTTCCTTAATTGACATTTAATAAACAAAGATAAAATCATGAAGGGATAAAACGATACAAGTGATAGAACCAGATAGAACTCTGTACCTGTTTGGTCTATCTCTTTCGATCTAATGGAATAATGAAATATGCACAGACTCCTGAGAGAAGACATAAAAGGCCTTTTTCCTACAACCACAAGTATTGCCCTCTACCGAAGAAGTAGATGCCAACTACACAGTATATCCATTTCAATCCATTCTTGGTTGAAATCTCTAAAGCCAGTGGTATAAGATATACTTTCCTGCTTAGTGCTTAGATTCTAAAGCTGATAACATGTCAAATTGATAGTCAAACTTACGCATTCACATTTACCATTGCTTGAAATACTTTTTTATAATGAGTATTTCTAATTTTTATTCGTTTCTTTAAATATAAATCATTCTTCAATAAAATCACATTAATTTACAGATTTTCGAAATGTAGTAAGAACCGTTATTAGTGCGAACTTTTATGTAGAAATAGGAAATGATTCTAAATATTATATCGTCGATTATTCAAGGATCTTTAATAAATATATACTCGTTTTTTTTTATTATACATTTTATTCAATTCATATTCAAAATGTTCCATTTTATTTAAGCTGCAGCAAGTATTTTCCTGAACTTTTTCCATTCATCAAGTGGTCCATGTTCTGGAAGATACTTGACATTGCAACCGTCTGGAGCAAGACGACCCGCAGTTTTCAGTTCCTCGTATTCGTTACGATCGTATTTCGTAAAACCCCATTTCTTCGACACATAAATCTTTTGGCGACCAGGAAACTTGAACTTGGCACGTCGCAGAGCCTCAATGACAGCTGCCTTGTGACGATCAGAAGAACGCACACTCATAATGGGCTGACCAATATGTACTCTGGCTACAGTACCTTGAGGTTTACCAAAGGCACCTCTCATTCCAGTTTGTAGTCTGTAAAATAATTGGAATTACAGTATTTTCATAGATAAGTATATTTACAATTTATTATCACTATGATACAATAGAATTCTTATATATAGAAATAAAATAATTTCCAAACGGTTGTAAAAAAGTTGTACTCCATTTTAAGAGATATACATATCTTTCTAAGAGAAATAAAAATTTTATTATCTTACATACCTATCAGCCCCAGCACACGATAACATTTTGTTGATACGGATGACATGGAACGGATGGAGTCTCATACGAATATGAAACTGATCTTTTCCAGCATTCTTTACCATGTATTTATTAGCACAAATACGTCCGGCTTCCAAGGCCTCGGAACTAAGTTGTTCATATTCATCTGACACCAAGTGCACACATAACGGAAAGTCCTCAACAGATGCTTTCTTCTTTCCAAGATCAAAGATACGGATCTTTGGGTCCGGCACACCACGACAGAATCTGGATTTTGGGTACGGCTTATTTTTACAGTATCGATAACTAAAAAAAGATTGTCAAATGTAACATTATGCTGATTCTGTAATGAGTTAATAGTCAGAAATTTTTAGTCAATAGTTAACTCTAATAAGTGACTATAAATTTTTGCATCTATGAGTTGTTAATTGTACAAGTCATTTAGCTTGATGAGAAATAAAGTCAAATTTAGTTCCTACATATAATCGTACAAATTAGCTAAATGGCCAATTTCATCAATTCATCGATAAAACTTATCTAAGGACTACTGACTCATTGTAGAATCAGTTTCATGCATTTTAATATTCTTTAATATTAAATTTTAATATTAAGAATCTGTATTAATAAAATTGTACTATTAAATTAGAATTACAATGCATTTTTATCATCATGTAACATAATTGCAAATTTTTATTTGAAATATGGATAAATGTTTAAAAATATTTATGATATATATAGAATATAACACATTCGTGAATATCCTTTGTATTAAAATACCATATAATATCGAAAAAAATGTTACAAAATTTATTAATAAAATATATATTTAAAATTGATATATTCAGCGAATTAAAAATCTCATTACATACCATCTTGCTGGTCGACGTCCCATTTTAACCTGCCAATTAAATTAAATCTGTATAAAGAAACATTTGAAATACATAAATCAACGTGTAGAGAATAGTTCAAAAAGAATCTAGCATGTTTAGAAACACTTAAATGTATATTAGAATGTTAAAAGAAAATAGAAAAATATAAAGAAATGTAATATCTCTCACCAACCCAAGTAAAGGTAACTACACGAGAAAAAATGAAGAAAAAAAGATAGGCGCATTGAAGTTGGTAAAGTGGCTACACTGGGTTAAAGAGATTCTCCAGGCAGAGTTGTCAACCTTTTGTCACATCTTAACTTTAGATTGAGTTTAAAAAATTCTCTTAAATTATCCTAAATTTTAATTTTTATAAAAGCAAAACGAAGATAAATAAATAACTATATTTTATTTAAAAATAAAAATTTTTATAACACACTGAAAATATAATAGTACGTACATGTAAATGAACCATATTTTGCATGGATCCAGAAATGTGTAGCCAATCAACATTAGCTTTTACGGCAAAATGGCAAGTTGATTGGCTACACATTTTTCGGTCCGAGAATTCGAACCAATTCGGACCGAGTTTTAACACCGTGAACGCAAGACAGATCATATATTTTTGCAATTAATGTGCAATATTGTGCATTTCCTAACCTAAAAATTTATATACGTTGTGTATCATTTTCATATGTACCTACATACGTTTGTTTAATTTATTTACATCGTGCTATTGTTATTAATATACCGATAAATCACAATAATGCTGAATCTTTTAAACAGGTAATGTTAATTGGTTAAAATAATTCTGCAAATACATATTTTTGAGCTAGTGTAGCTGAACTGAATACATATAATTTACTCCAAAACGTAATTGCTCCAGATTCTTTCATTTTATGTGAAAACACATCGAATAATTGTATTGAAATTGAAGGTGAGAAGTGACTTCTGAATAATTACTGTAAATATTATATATAGATATCTACACTCTACAGTAGTATTATACATATCTTTCAGACAAATTTGATGATGAAATTTATATGTATATATTATTTGCTACAGCAACTCATTAATAATCCACATAAAGCGATAAATTATGAAGGATCGTACGACAAAACAATTACAGCGATTGGAAAAGAAGAAAGCAAAGATAGCAGCATTTTTGGAAATTGCAAAACTTAATGACAAAGATAAAGCAGCAAAACTACAAGCTGTGAAACAGGTTTATACTAAAATTCAAGAATAATTTGAAACAATTGTTATAGCTTATGATTAGTTTTATGAAATTATTTTTAGACAGTAGCCACCACTGATGAATTTAGTAATCTAAACGACAACAATATAGCAGAAAATAATTCTCGTAAACGAACTTGTGAAAAAAATTTAGACAATGTATGTTTAGAAGCTTGTAAGGAAGAAAATATTCCTGATGGGCCAGAATTACAGGAGAATACTAAAAAACCCAGGTAATTTTATAGAGATTTATACATAGAGTCATATTCCGGAAGTAATGAATAATAACTGTTTGAAAATTAGTATTTTTTTTAAGTACATCTGCTTAATATATGAACTTTTGTTTACTTTTCTAAATAATCCTAATTTTTTTATATATTTAGTTATTGTTCTAGAAGCTTGAATGTTGAATTGAATATTATGATAGAACTTCTAGCTATCCCTCAAAGATAGTGATGCGTTACTTTTGTATTTCCTGCATATTATAATAAGGGTATATCCAGACTATCAAACTAAAACTCAAGCAAACTTTTCAGCTAACTTTCATTGTTTTTTGCCAAACAGCTTAACAAATATTTACCAAAATGTTTGCGGCTCAAAGTTTGGCTCGAATTTCAACTTGATAATCTGAACATACCCTAACAGTTTTATTTACAGTTACATGTCTATTATTATCTTAATTTAATCAATTTGTTGCGTTTATTTGACACTTACTGAGACAAAATCTGTAGATAAAGTTATATTATGTACATGGTTTTTCCATAAAAAATCCTAATTTATAAAAAATTGTTCATTACTTTTGCTGTGATATGATTCTCACATATATTTTATCTTCTATACATATATATATGTATACACACCCATGTACATACACACTAGTGTACATATGTATGTATGTATATGTGTACAGATTAAGTGATAGCGAAGAATATGCGAATTTGAAAGAAGAACTTAGAAAACGTAAGAAGAGACTTCAAGCAATTCCAAGACTCACTCTCAAAGCAGTTGGCGAGAACGCTGTTCTAGATGTTAAAAACTTGAAAAACAGGATACCAATATTTCTTAGCGATATACAGCATTTGTTGTTGTATTCATTACTTGGACATCATTCTCCTTACTTACCAGCAAGATGGTGTAAACTTGAGAAGTATAACAAAGTAATATTGATTAATGTAGTATAAAACTTTCAAGCAGTACTGTACTTTAGAGATAGTTTAATTCATGATATTTAATAATTCTAATTAAATAATTTTCTCCAAAGATAAGCCATACTGTAGTTATTGTCCTTGAAGGTTTGTCTTCATATCATTTTATGGCTTATGAGAGCATGTTTCCACACATAGTACATAACTTAAAGCATCGTTTAGAAGTGATAACGCCAGCTGTCTATGGTGCACCCATAACAGAAGAACTTGCAGCTGTTCCTTTAACAGGAACACAAAGCGATAAATTAATTAAACGTATGTATAATATTAGAGTAAAATATATCTAATACATTTTCTATTAAAATGAATATTTTTAAATCTACTCTCTTTCTATATGAAATAAAATATTCTAATTGAATATTAGTCAGAACATATATTTATAAAATATATAGTAGTACAATTTTATGACATAATAATTTCTAATATCAATAAAAATATATACTGTAATGACAAAACATGAAAAAAAATTTTATTTCTAGAATATGGTTCCTTAGAAACTGCTTTGCAAACAAATGGAAATGTCATAAAATTGCTAAGAAGTATTTTTCCAATGCATTCAGTAAAAAACGATGTACAATTTTCAAAAAATATCGATGAAAATTTACCACCAACTGATAAATTTTGTAGAACAAAGTTGCTTTTATCGTTATGGCAGATGGTGGAAGAAAACTATCCTGTACCACTGAAAGGAACATTAGCAGAAAGGTAAGGTTCTATTTTTTTCAAAAGTTTTTTTTACAATTTTGTAAATGAGATGAATTTAGTAGTACAATTTAATACTACAATTTTGTTTAGAAAATTGAAAAATTAATTTAGAAACATCTATGTGTTTCCTGTGTAAAGTATGCAATTTTGTGTATTTTCATATTTATTTATGTTGAAATTTTGCCAAAATATGGCTAAAAATCATTTTCAAATATAGAACAATTTCAGTAAAATTTTTCCAACGAGGACAGATATTGATTAAATTTTTCTGAATATAAAATTATAATTAATGAGTTAATATAATTTTAGATACGGTTCATATATATTAACGAAAGATGTTTATGAAGAGGCTACATCAACATCACCAATGTTTGGCTTAGACTGCGAAATGTGTCTAACAACAAGTGGCAATCTTGAACTCACTAGAATAAGTATCGTAGATGAGGATATGAATGTAAGTACAATTATATATTTATCCTTTAGGCGATAAAAACATGCAAATCAATTCAATTACAGGTTATTTACGACAGCTTAGTGAAACCTGAAAATGCGATAACGAATTACTTAACTCGGTACAGTGGTATTACTGAAGATATGTTAGATGATGTTACGGTTACACTGCACGATGTTCAGCAGACACTGAGGACGTTACTTCCTCCAAACGCGATTCTTGTAGGACAAAGTTTGAATTCTGATTTGCATACATTAAAAATGATGCATCCCTATATCATCGATACTTCTGTAATATTTAATCTTACCGGGGAAAGGTACTATAAAATAACTAGTATAGTGAATATATCAGTAAATATAGGTAATTTCATTTCATGCTCTCTTATCTAACACAGGTATAAGAAAACAAAATTGCAGATTTTGGCGCGCGAGTTTCTCGGTGAGAGTATTCAAGACAATAAAGATGGACATTGTTCAACAGAAGATTCAAAAGCTTCTTTGAAATTGGTAAAGTTAAAATTAGCGAACAGTGTGAATTACGGAGACGCTGTATTGCTTGGTGATCGCAGTATGAGAATCTTGAAAATGGAGACTACAAAGCGGACATTGCAAAAAACAGAAATAAAAAAATACGCCACGTCAATATTCAGTCATATAACGAAAAATAAAGGCACCACTGCTGCTATTGTGGGCAATGATGAAGTGATATCCGAATATTCCAAGTATTTAACGAACTCTTCTCTCAATGTCATGGACGATAAAAGTTTCGCAAAGGACGATCAAGTTAGTATACATCTACGAACAATATATAAAACGTTTCTGATTTAAACGAACATTTATATTTATCAAGAAACTAAAACATAAGTTGGAAAGACATAAGACGAAATTGTTTTTCATTAATTTAATATTGATTTTCGATAACTGTAGGTACGTCTTGTGATAGCAGATAGCAATGAACATGCTGTAGATCGAACTTCAGAAATAGCGATGGAGCACGCTTTTGTATTGTGCCATGTGAAGCTTAAAGAAGAACAATTGAAAGATGAGCAGTTAGAGAAAACATTTCGTACTGTAAACAAATGGATTCACAAAGTTTGGCAATATAGTGCAATAAACAGTCTTGCATGCGTGATATTCAGTGGGCAAAATAATACAGCGAACGGTTCTTGTTTCTTAAATATTAAAACAGAGATATCGTCGGATATTATTGTATGAGCTTAAAAAAAAATGTTGGAATTATTTAATCGTCTTGAGCTGTGCATGAAAAAAATTAATTTCATTAATATTGGATACACTGGTATTAAAAGAACTTGTCAGGTTTAGACAAACAGTACTTGTACAAATTTTTGTTAATAAAAATATATTTTGTAATCTCTACTTATTTATTATTCTCATGAAACATACTTATTTCTATGGCGCATCTTGGAATAGATATTTCTTACTTTATAAATTTCAATGAATTGAACAGTTTATTATATATAGAAATACACAGTAATGCAATGATAAATATAAAACTAAGATTATCCTAATAACAATTATCTTAATAAATCTGAGAATTATTTTCGAGAAATGTGTCAGACCATAATAAAATAAAGAATTATAAGTACATAACTTGTACAAATTTTTCATCATGCTTAAAATTTAAAAAAACATTAAAGTATGTTATGCACATTTAGAGAATAAAATATACTTTATACAATCAATGATCTATTATTTGGCATGACTCATTTTCTCGCGAAACATCATATAACTTGAAATTGGTTCTCTGTTATTTTTATTGAGAACACGTTGCCTGAACGAAATTGCAGCGGCAGCTCCTTTCAACGATTGTTTCTTAGTCTCCTTCAAGTTTACTATATGAAATTGTGTCGTGTAATCAGAAGTATTCAACGTGTTGTCGCAATCAGCGGTCGTCGCCTTTGATTTACTCGTCGTTGTTGACGATACAATTTTTTTCTTGTTTCGCAAAGTTTTCTGTCTTTTTTTCACTTTCATTGGCACATCCGCAAGATTCTCAATTACATCGTCTGGAAGTCGGTTCAGACCGCTTGGTAACGATTTACTTTCTTCTTTGACTTCTCTTTTTGGTTTCTTCGTGGGCACATTCATATAAAGGGCATTTTCGACATCTTCACTTCGATTGCGTTTCTTCTTAGGCCTCGATTCTTTAATACACATCTTTGTACCATCAATAGCTTTATCTAATTCTTTAGTGTTACAGAATACATTTTTTGATTCGCTTATACCTAATGCAGATTTTTTTAATCGTAATTTATTAGGCAATAAAATTTGTTTAGATTTTAATTTAGAAACTGGAATTTTTACTGGCAAGGTATTTTTCTCTTCTTCTTCTTTCTTCTTTTTTTTCTTCTTTTTCTCTGTTTGCAAAGTTTCAATACTTTCCACTGTCTCTTGCTGTTTAATTTTCTTTTTTACTTGCTGTTCTTGTTTAGCTGTAAGTAAATTCAATTCTGAACTATTAATGATTTTATTTTTCTTTTTGTGTTGTGATAACTCTGTTCTCTTCTCGCGAATATTTTGAAGCATATTATGTTCGTTTACATTTGTATTCTCAACTATCTTAATTTGTTTCTTTTTCTTATCATTTTTATTAATTTGACACGTATCTTCACGAATATTATCTTCTGTGGATAATTGAGTAAGTTTAGCAAGTTTCTTCTTTTTAGGAATCTTTATTTTTGTAACATCTGTAGATAAAGGTTTAACCATTACAACACTTTCCTCTGATGTATCCTGTTTTTTCTTTTTCTTTTTTCTCTCATTAATCTGACCTACGTCTTTGCGAATATTGTCCTCTACAATGGGCAACTGAATAAGTTTATCACGTTTTTTCTTTTTTAAACTCTTTAATTTCATTAACTCTTTAAACAAAACTTCACGAATGATATGATTCTTTAATACCTCTTGTTTTGTAATCTCACGAGTATTGTCCTCTATAGATAATTGAGCAAGTTTGACAGGCTTCTTTTTAGAAATATTTGTTTCTATAGCGTTTTCAGATAAAGTTTTATCAGTAAGATCTTTCTTTATTTTATCTTTTTTCTTCTTTTTCTTATTAATCTGACATGTATCTTTGCAGATATTATCCTCTACAACAGTTGATTGAATAAGCTTGATTTTTTTCCTTTTAGGAACATTTAATTCTGTTATGTCTTCAGACAAAATTTCATCGTTGATATTTTTATTTGATAATTCTTGTCTCTTACGTTTTTTCTGTTTTTTTTTACAACTTTGTATAATATTATCATTAGATGATATTATCGAATCAGGTACTTCAGCTTTATTTTTCTCTTTTATTTTTATTTCTTTAATATTTTTTTCTGCGGATGATTCTTTCTGTGATGAATTGGTTTCTGTATTATATTTTAATTTAGTTGGTGCACTTTCGTTTAACTTCTCTTTCTTAAGATGTTTTAACCTTGGTGTTTCGTTATTTATGCTCATTGTTTTACTTAATTCTATCTTAGATGATTTTGAACAACTTGTCTCTCCTAACTTTTCCAACAAGATGGATGAAAAATTGCTTGATATCTTCTTTTTATTTGAATCGTTCAACTTCTTCAAACTAATGTCTTCGTTTAATGTAAGGTTTTTTTTTGATACATCCTTAACTGAAATATCTTGTGTTGCTTTAATCTTATTGCTCGATTTATTACATTTATTTTCCGGAGTTGTTTCAAATGTTTCATCAAGTTCTAATTTCTTACAGGTGTTAAGCTTTGGAGTACTAAAGTCCATTAACACGCGTGATTTCGACGATTTTGCAGATGATTTGAATTCATTTGATTGTTCACTGAAATTTTGTTCAGCTACATCTTTTGAATATCGTGGATCCAGCATTCTTTTCTTCTTAAACGATGAAGAAATTAAGTTAGAAGTGTCGGATAAAACAGTTTCATTTTCTTTCATAAGGGATTTCTTCTTCTTTTTCTTCTTAATCGACAAGTCTGAATTTACCAAGTCTTCTAAAATAGTTTCGTCATTTCTGTTCATACTAGATTTCTTCATTTTTACGTTTTGTGTTGTTTCTGTCTCACTTTTATAAGGTGAAACATGGTCGATAGATTTTTTCTCATTTTCATCAATTTTGGACAGTTTAGAAGAAGTATTGGTGTATAAAGAAACAGCTTCCATTAAGATGAATGTATTTTCGTTTCTGTCTTTGTCTGTTGCATCCTTTTTCTGTACATCTTCGTTGTCTTCGTTTTTATTTTCGATATTTAATTCCGTGTTAAAATTCGCTTCCTCTTTTTCATCTTCCACTTTTTCCTTTTGTACAACATAATCAACATCTTTACTATCTTCTTCGTTATCATTTTCTGCTTCCTCATTTTCTACTTCAGTGTCATTATCTTCTTTACTGTCATGTTCTTCTTCCTCATTTTCTGTTTCAATGTCATCAACTATAAAACCTGCAAGATCTGAACCGTTGTCATCAGAATCTGAAAATTCTAGTTCTGAAGCTCTACATTCATCAGCAGCTATATCATCAGAAAGTTTTACTTCCGTTCCATCCAGGTTGTATTCTCTGTTAATATCAGAATCAATACTATTAGCGTTAATACTGCTTTCACTCTTTGTTGGTGTAAATATATTTGGAATGTTAAAATCATCGCTATCCGATCCCATATTTGCTATTGTAGAATAACTTTTAAATCCAAGATTCGCGGCTACTATGTTTGTACTTATATCACTATTATCACTTTCATCATCATAAAGCTGTATTGTTTTCTTCGTTTCCTGATCCATAGACCGATTTGATGTATTTTCACGCTTTTTACTGCAACCTTCAATTGATACATTCCTTTCATCAGATTCGGTTGCATTATCATCCGTACTTTCATTCAACTGATCCAAGGAATGTTTCTTCTTATATAATTTTTTCTTCGTAGTACTTGCGGTTGTGTCATCAAGTTTTTTCTCTGAACTAGATATACCTTTGAAAGATTTATTTAATGATGTTCTTTGTTTTGTTAATTTTTGTAAAGATATATTATTCTTGTTTATTAATGAACTTCTATTTAATTCATTTGTATCATCTTCAATTTCTTTATCTGATTCATTATTTTCTTTGGTAGATCGTCCTTTTGTTTTTGTTGACTGTTCTGATTTATTTAATCTGGAAATAGATCGATCATTGGTTCGATTTAAAGCTGTTTTGGATTCATTTAAAGATTTATCAACAGAGATTAAATTATCTTCGTCTTTTGCATATTCAAAAATATCTTCATCTATTTCGGACACAAGTCTTTTCATAGTTCTTGATTTTTGTTTTTTAATTTGTTTTTCGTTTGTTTTGTTAAGATCAGTATCTGATGGAAGTTCATCTATGGCGGTTAATTTTTCAATATCACAATTCGCTTGTGACGCGTCTAATCGACTCTTTAATAATACAGTGTCATCGGAATCGTATTCAAAAGATTCCGTTTCTTTTACTGCTTTTATTGTTTCAGCCGCCAACCATGCCTTTTTGTTTATCAAAATAAGACAGTTTTCAGCTTCACTTTCATTTTCCACTTCTTCCACTAATTGGGAGGTAGACTGCACTGAATCAATGTTAACATCATTTTTCTCCTTCCATTTGTCAGCAGGGATATCTTGGAATAAATTAATGCCGGCATCGTCATCATCGGAAATATCATCGCTGATATTCACTGTTTCTTGATCTTTTCGAGTTGTTTCCGTTTGTAAACTTTCTTTTTCTCCTTCCAAATTATCTGTACTCTTCCGTTTTAAATTTGGTTTCACTTTTTCTGACAAAACATCTTTTGAATCTGTTTTGTCGAATAATATATCCATTGTAGATTTTTTAGATGCTTTTGTTACATCAGTAAATTGGTTATCTTGAATTATCATATCATTCGAGTCATCATGTGTAGAATTATTTGTCTCCAAGAGAATATTAGATGTCGATTCTGTATCATACTTCAATAAATTTTCCTGATCCTGTTCTACAGAATCGGTACTGTCTATTATCTCATCTTGAGTTAAAGCTGATTGTTTATCTATTACAATAGCTGAGTCAGCAGAAATTTGTAAATTTACTGACTGATTAGACTTGGAGTGTGCTACGTTCGGCGAAACCTCGTTGTCATTTCGATGCGGACTTTGTTTTTCTAACACTAATTTTATTTCGTTACTATCACTTATTTGCTTTGACATTAGATCTGCAGATAAACGCAATGTTTTATCTACTTTATTTGATTTAATTTTGTTAGAATTTTTGTCATCTGTAACAGTACATTCTTTTTTATCAGTTTTATCTAATTTGTTGATTACTTCCATTGCATCCTCATTGTAAGTAGATGTATTTGCATTTTCAATTTTTGATATTTCATCTTTGTTAGTAACTCCATCAATTATTTCTATACTGTCATATAACAAAATATTTTTTTCTGTTGCACTTGAATTTGTATATTTTATAGAAATATCCATTTTTTCTTGAGAGCTATCAGTAGTTTCTTTTGACAAATCGCTGTATTTAATTACGACTTCTGTTGATTCTCTTGAGCGACGCCTTTTACTTAAGTTTTCTATTTTCATAGATTTAGTTTCCTCATTTAATGATTTATTCATAGAAGGCGAAGTAAAAGATTTATTAGGTGTTGCCTTAGACTGCATAATTTTTTCTGCTACATCACTAATAATATTCAAGGTATGATTTTCCTTATCACTTTTTTGCTCCTCAATAGAAGTATCTGATAAATCTTTAGACATAACTTCTGTCTCTTTAGTTGTATCACGCATGTCGAGTAACGATTTATCTATATCTGAAAGATTTTCAACAATTTCTGCGTTTTCTTTTGCAAAATTTTCATCATTTGGGGAAGAGTGGGCAGAAAATCCTTCATTTGTGCTCTTGTTGGATGTTGGAGTTTTTTCAAACTTCTTTTGCACCTCATCTACAACAAACATATATAAATTATAATTTATCCTATGTCATTTAGATTAAGTTGTTCCATCTTTTGATAAACTTCAACTCTTTCTTATTCGTATGTTTTTACTCTTTTGTTTATCCATTAGATAAATTATCACATAGTTTATCCGAGGAGAGAACAACTGGTCCTTAAGAGAAGATTTGCTTGTTTTGAATTAAAAAAAAAAAACGGATTATTTTCTCAAATTTTATTTTTCAATATTTCTAGAATATTTTCTCAAAAAATTTTTTGAAATATTTCTAATATCAACATAAATTACAATAGTTTGAGCCAATCGTAAATAAAAAAATGACTTGGTATTATAGTAGATAACAGTATCTTCATAGCAATTTTCTTTCAAATAAGCGATTTTTTAATAATAATATCATAAAAAGAAGACCCCTAAAGAGTTTGTTTTATACATAGTGATATAATAATCGTAGTATAAGATTTAAAACATTTTCGTGTTTAAGATTTAAAATTATTTTGACGTTATAAATGATTATTTATGCTTATTCTTGCCCTCATTGATAAAAAAGATAAATAGATCTTAAAATAGGATTAAAATGCTATCTACTTATACACAAAAGGGATTAGGATAGATCGTTTAGAAAGACGTGCTCTATGATATGATGAAAATGGTAAGAATAATTCAAAGTTTAGAAGAATCATTAAAATGAGTTTTATAAACAAAAGAAAAAATTGGCCCAGGAGAGAATCATCGATTAGAATAAATAATAAAATTGTATTATATAACATGTTCGATAATGACTGCATCACTTCCTGGAAACACGTAAACTTTAGATTGCTAAGTATGCGCACAAGAGGGTTTCTTGGCAATAACGCTGCTTCAATGGCGTTTGCACCTATAAGTAATGTTCAAAGTCTACAATATGCAGAGTAAACTTGGTGCAAGAAATAAGAATAAGAAATCGATCAATTACAATCATTCTTCTTTCTATTCGACTGAGTGGTCAATTTCTAACTCTTATTTCTTTCTCCATATACTGTAGACGACGTATCAGAGTTAGAAGACCTAACTGTATACATGTAAGTGATCACGAAAAATGTAATCTATAGAAAATAAATGTCTTAAATAGTCTAGTTCTTAATTCTCTAGAACGATTATAATAATGTTGAAAGACATATTAATATCTGTAATCTTAGATGTGTAAAGAACATCGAATTGTTAATTGTTCGTCAATTTAACTTGTGACATTACTGCGGTAGTTCAGTGGAGTTTGCGTTTCAAGACCGAAAAATCAGTTCGACGTGCAGATTACAGAACTATACATGTATATGTAGTACATAAATTCACACAAAATTATACAAGCACTTAAGATCCCGTTTAAGAAACGTTTAACGTATTATTTCTTATAATTGTGTTCTCACATGTACAGTCCTATGAGATTTAATATTGCAAATATGTAATATTAATTCTAATACTGATATTTAAACAAAAGTTTTAATTTTATTTACCGAAAGTATTCTCTGTGTTCTCTGCTGTTTCTCCAGTAATATCCTCGGTTTGTGTTTCATCTTTTTTCTCTGACAATTGAAGTGTTTCACTTGATTTTGACAAATCAGTTGAAGTCTCTATCTTTTCTATAGAAATAAAAAGGAATCATAAAATTAATATAAATATATAAGTAATATAAAATAGTGTAGATTTTTTAAGATAATTAATTTCAGATTATTTTAATAATTTTACTATTGTTACTCATTTACTCACCATTGCTATGATCTTCAACTTCATCTTTAATCATACTTTGAAGTTTTCTATTAATTTGATGTAAACGTTGATATAATGATTGACGAGGCGAAGAATCTGAATTTCCTGAATTTTTTACAAAACAAATTTGTTATAAAAATGATCTATGTTAATGATAATATACATATATATCGAGGATCATAGAATTATTTGCTAATATATATCTTTAATACCGGAATTCGAAACTTCATCAGTTTCAACTATTGTAGAATCCAATCGTATATAAGGTATACGATCATCCAATTCAATTTGTTGTTTAATCTGGGAACCTGATGGCAACACAGATGCTTGTCTATGAGTTTTTGCTGGTGAACTAGATCGGCTTTTACTTTTAGTCGAAGATTCCAACTCAGTAGACTTAGCTCTTGTTCTACGTGTGATTCTAGTTGCTGGCAATGGTGAGGTTGCTTCGGATCCAGCACGTATAAAACGCTTACTGATAATTATACAAGATTACATTGGTTATAAACTTTCATGTATTATTAAATATAAATATTGACACATAACAGTACCTGGTTGCTCGAGTATTAATTCTGGTTGGTGTGCTAACCAGACTTGCAGAACCTGAGCTTTGTCTTTTAGTCCGTTTTCCAGGTGTTCGTGGGACATCAATGTCAATCTCAATTTCTGAAGAAACAGAATTCTTTCTAGTACGTAGTCTTTTTGTATCCGAAGTAGTAGAATCCATAGCTGCTGTTCGTATTCTAGTACTCTGAGTTGTTTGAACACTGCTCATACTACTATCACTTTCAGAACCTGGTGAATATTTATTCTTTTTTATTCTGCTGCTGCGGCGTAACGGAGAATGCACCACAGATTGTACAGTAAGCATTCGAGTCTGCATACGACCAATAGCTACAAGAAATAACAAAAGACTAAACTAATCAAAAACTTAAAAACAGTATTAATCATATTTAGGAAGCATGCTATCAGCACTATTGTATCATTTCATCAGTTAGTAAATATAAAATAAAGATAAAATGACAAGTAATATGCTGATGACACGTTTTCTAAAACAAAGTAGATATTTAAGACAAACAAAATAAAATAAAGATAACACACATTCTTGAATTTTAGCATTTTTTATATTAACATACTTATGAAGATAAATAATTAGAAGATTATATATTAGATTCTTTCGTTATACAATAAATAGATATTTATTTATATGTTTAAAATAGATAATCAAAATAAACATTACAGAATTCTCTAGGTTATTGTTTTTACAAGTTAAAAATTTACATACACACACACACACACACATATATATACATATATATGTATTATACACACACATATAATTGCTAAAATCAAAAGTAATTATATGAAAACTAAAAATAATTTTTTTCAATAGATTGTTGCATTTCGAAATGTGTGACATACGGCGAATTTCTGAATTTATTGATTGATCAATCGTGTGCAAACGTAATTTCGTTCTGTAAGTTTCATTTGTGCACAAAACAATTAATCAACCGATAAATTTAAAAAATCGTCCATATAAATTCATCAAGAATTAAAAAGAAGGAATTTATTTAAATTAATAAACATATGTATTATCACAGATCGAAATCGTTAATAGAAAAAAACCAGATGAGGTTCTCGGATCAGTGAGAATATTCTAGCAAGAATAGAAATAATCTCGAAAAAGACATTGAGACTAAAAGGAGAAAAAACAAAGTTACAACGCATTTGTATTACAGCACAATCGAGGACAACGAAAAAAATGGTAAAACTCTTTTAGCACCGAGTCGGCTAACCGGCGCTTTTTTGTCTCGTGCACATGCTGTTAAGAAGAAATTAAGCGATACGTACTTGGTTTTGGCTCATAGTCATCGTCCGAATCTTTTATGGAACGTGACATCTTCGCGATCGTTTAATCATATATCGGACAAAAGACTAATGCTTTACGGAAAGAACAATTTTAAACAGAGGAAAAAAGGTTACTGAAACCACGTGCTACTTGCTTCTACACGAATTTGAACTCCACGAGCGGACGAGCCATTGGCACAAAAGACCCGAACTACAACGGACAACGATTACCATAGATATAAAATAAAAGATGTACGAAGAGAATCTGTCATGGCGGAAGAAACTCAGGTGTGCTATTGCGCACATACGTTTCTACAGCCAATCAGAACGCGAAACATTATCTGCCATATTGTAAAAGTCGCGACATGATACAGTCGTGTTTTGATTGGCCAGCATATTTTAACAATTTTCGTCTACAATTTGAATACCTATATTCGTGTTATTCTTAAATTTCAACAATGTAATTAAAGTCAAATATTGTAAAGGCATTAACAAATAGATTTCTTACATACTATTATGTGGATTAGACAAAGATAAACAATCAACTTTGATGGTTCGTCCTTGTCTAAGTAGTATAAAAAAGAATCATAAAAATGTGGACGTTACCCTATGAGGTACATAAAAAAGATTAGGATGTCCATCTCTCAGATTTCTCTACTACTAAAGAAAAACTTTGAAAGGGTATAAAGTCTTTTTTACCTGTAACCGCAAAATGCCTTGCGCACTACCGCCCTCTGAAGAAGTGGAATGTCAACTAAACAACAACTTTAATGAGCTCACCGGCGCGGATAGATTTGCGATTATAATATTCAGATAATTTGTGTTTTTGCGTAAAAGGTTGGTGTAAGATTATTAATATTGTATTCTATAATACGAACATTGTTATAGACTTATCGTTTATCATTTTAACAGAAGTACTACATTTTGATTAGTTATTTAGTTTTATTTATTATATATACTAAATTTATTATACACATATTGGCTCTGTTGCCATATTTGCAATATCATTATTAAAGTTATATATTTGTCAAATTAACTTTACAGCTACAATTATTTATGTAGTTAGAAAAATAATATTGATATCTCGAATAAATTAACACTGTGAAAGAATTCGGTTAAATAATTGTTACATTATCCATGTCTTTATTTAGAATCAATTAATGTGTCTCACGTTCCATTCTAACATAATTCTTTTGTTAATATAATTTCTGACGCGACTTTAATCAAGAAAAATTTGAAAAATTTGATCTTCTCACACACACACAGTTTTTTATTTTATTTATTTAATAAAAATACTGATTATTACGACGCATTGTAATTAATTATTTGACTAATATTGTTGACTTTATTCGATACACATGCAAATCTACATGGATTTTTGATGTACTTCACGTGGTCCTTTTACGGGACCAAAAGTAACCACATGTAATCGATGACCAATATATATTTGACAGTGATTTATCATGATCCATTACTGATCGTTTCTTTACAGATCTCTCTTTATTAAAAAATCTAAAGATAACTCAAAACAAGCCGAAACACGTATATATATATATATGTGTGTGTATGTTAATCAGAAAGTTCTTCATTCGCGCAAGAATTACTGCGCGTTGACTCTTACATACTATTTTAATTATTATTTTTTTAATATCTCTCTGTTAATAATTTATTAAATTTGTATATGTATTATCAATGTATATACATATATATTATGTATAGAATGAATCACGACAAGTTGTTAGGGAGATAATGCTTCTCTCTATCAACTTCTTCCCGGGAAGCGTTGTGTCCCCTGACCTTCTCTTACTGCTTCTCGGATTGGATCTCATTCTTTCTTATCGTATCACAACGGATACACCATGGAGTACTATACAAGTTCATTACGAGAAGAGGGAACGATTACGCAATAACGAACAGTTAGGAGCAAACATTATGACAAATAAATTATATTAATTATTAATTATTTTTAAAAAGTCTGAAGGATCTATACTTATGTCCAGTTCCATCAATGTAGACTAACTTTAATCTCAGTTTAACTTACTTTTTATCTTTTTCTAGTTCTAAGAATTAGAAAAAGATAAAGAGTAAGTTAAACCAAGACCCATATTAGTCTCTCCTCGACTTTCATCGAGGAGTATCTCGTTTAGCGAATACTTTTATCGGACATTATGTTCGGTATTATGCTGTTGCTTACATCTTAGTGGTACACAAGGTGAGTGCTAGCCAATTATCAGATTCACTCGCGATACTACGATTCAATTGTTCAACCAAAAATGGCGCGCGAAATTTGCGTTGAATTGATTTACGGTGACCGGCCTTCAACTCTGCTCAATATCGATATTATGGCTTGTGTCAACGTATCTTAGAAGTGTTAGAAAATAAGATACGGCAAGACAGAAGAAATACGTTTAAAAAATAATTTTCTAAGACCTTCAAATCGATTGTTAGAATGTCAAAATTTTTTACATCTCATTGTTCATTAATCGCAAGTAGCAGATCGATCGACAACAAAAAATGACATATAGAGATGTCTATTCATATATGGTCATTTTTGCAATGACTGATGTAGTGAATAATGAAGTTTTGTCATTTAGAAAAATTGGAGACGTTTTTTTTTATTATTAGTGCGACATATAATTTTGTATTTTAGTATCTATAAGGAGGTTAATGAAAATATAATTAATAGTGCGACGTTTCAGAAGTATAACTACAATATTTTATGAAATATTTTAATTTTGCAGAATAATATTTTTGCAACGTTATACAAATAAAAATTAAAATAATACTTAAAGCATTAAAAGCGTAGATAGATTGAAATTATTATATTCCTCCCTTATTTCTTATTTTTTTCATGTCTGAACCTTAATATTCTATATAACTTATAATTATTTTGATAGTCGAACCAAATTATTTTTTTATGTAATTATTGAATATTTAGATATATGTATATATACATATATTTATATATATATGCATATACAATAAATTATATACATATATAAATATACCATATATTCGTAAATAAAGTGCTATAATTGTACAAAATTCTGAAAGAAAATTAAGTAATTTAATTGTTGAGGTTTAAATTTAGTAAGCTCAATCTCCTCTTAGGTGGAGGATGTTAAAAGATACGTAACAGAGAAAAATCAAATTTGAACTTTAAAAATTAGATTCAAACTTTTTTTCGTTCAGAATTGAACCATATTTAAAATTGTACCGCCTTATTTTATATTGTATTATCTTTTACGTATTTTTTTATGTTTTTTTCTTCTTGATATATCTTCGCTCATTAATAACTTTTAGCAGCCTTTTAGTTTTGTATAGAGTGTAATCTCTGCAGATAAAAAGCTTTTACTCCAAATTGTACCAAAAACACATGTCTCTTCCTAAATGTGGGAAGGAATGTAACACCGCGTGCTTTACGAGGGTATTAGGTAGGTCAGTCAGAGGAATCGTAGTTCATTTCCGAAAGCCGATCTTCAGCTATTTTCGTGAGTTCCCCGTATTTATGTGGGTCACGGGCACTTGCGGAGAAAAAGAGCCCGTTCTTCCTTCCAATGCGCGGACGTCGACTTGAAATTCGTCGATTCAAATGTACGACGCCAGACCAGAACGAGAGAACGCCGTCGAAGATGGATGAAAGAAAGAGAACGCGACGTCGATGGATTAATCGAAAGAGAATACCTTTTTTTTTTTTTTTAATATATATATTTTTCGATCCGCTATAAGAGGAGGGGAGAGGAGAAATGTTTAATATATTTTTTTTTTATATGCCACCGAGGTAAAAGCAGTGAGGCATATACAATCAGGCAACACCAGGCGTCTGCGCGCCGCGTTGCGCGTGCCACGCTATGTATAGACGGTGATACGTCTGGGGCATCGGTTCCTTCGTGCGAATTATATGTATGCTCATTGCAGGGCCGGTCATCGGCCAAAGCGCACGTTGCTGCTTTCACGGCGGGTGCGAAAAACGTTTCACGACGGAACGTCCAACGGCGGAGCCGGGAGTGCGCGTCCGAGGATGAAGAAATAAAGGAAATTCGAGGAGAGAATTCGCGTCTCGTCGGCGGGATTTGCACACTTTGCGGTGAACTCGAAGATTACACGATTCGAGGTTGACCAGAATTGATAACACGTCGTTATGTTACGATAAAGGATCTCATTTGAAGCCCTAAAACGAACGTGCGATTAATGAAGGATCGTCTTCTTTTTAATTGGATGTGCGCTGTGTAAAAGTCGATTATGTTGAACGTCTAATGAAGAGGTGAAGTTTATCAGCTGTTGACCGGTTGCCAAAATTAAATTTAGACGTATCTTTCGACGAGTCAGTGCAGCTACAAGGAAACATTGCAACCAGTGGTAATTTAAGGTAAGAGCAAGGTATAAATTAATCGAACTTTTGTGTTGTAAAAAGCGAGAAAGAAGTGTCCTCTACAAACGTTGCTTAAATCAATTGGTGTGTTAAGAATCACGAGAGATTTAATTGCCGAATTTGCTAAAGTAATGTATTAAGATAATTCAAATGTCAAATGCTAAAAAATTATTATAAGGAATGTTCAATCTTTGAATCTCTTCCTTAGAGAACAACTCTGAAATTTGTCTGTTATTAAAATTAATAATCGTGCGGCAGAAGCTCCACGCTCGAGATGGTTCTGTAAAGCTGCTGAGAATGGCGATTTCTTGCATTAATGTGACCGCTTTTATTTTTATCTGTTTAAGTGTCATTCCTGAGCTAAACGCTATGCTTGGAAGTCGAAAAATGCATACATATTCGACTGAATATATTACATACAGTGGCGCTATCGCGTTTCTAACGATTTTCATGAGTTCCTCGCGGTCGAAACGACTTCTGTGCGGTCACGATTTCGACTCGCTACAGTTTTCTTAGCGGTTATCAGAACAGCTTGGTGCTATCAGAGCTGCCGTTTGCCAGGCCTAAACTGCAGCATACACACTCGTGTTTGTGTTTAGCGAAAGTATTGTAAATTTCGGCGTACATGAAACGGCAGCGCGTTAAAAGCTCAGCAATATATTACGAAACAGAACGTTTG